AAATAATGTCATATACATAATGATGGTGGACTTTGCTGTAATGTAACACTGATTTTAATCTATGGAATATTAAATGCAACTATTTTAAATTATTGTAATGTGTGTTGTGGGCTCCTAAGAAGTCTATTCATTTTTCTGTGATACACCACCTCTTCTGCAAAACCTTCCTGCTCTCGTATTTCTAAAAAACAGCACTTTCATCAACAGTTTCAAGAGTGAACAGGAATAGTCGGTACATTTGTTTTAGGGAGCTACAAAATCCAATGGAATGAAAACAACTTCAAGGACAAAATGTATACTACTATTGCCTGATGTTTCATGCCAAATATTTCACTCCAACCTATTCTGTTTTTTTATTGGAAATAATACTTTATATCACAGGCAGCAAATTGCATACAAAATGCCTTATTATGTGCATCATTCACCCATAAATTCTGAAATTAAAAAAAAAACGTAAAACCTAGTAGGCAGTATGGGTGGTTTTAATTTTTTTGAAAGAGGAATCCACTCTCTAAAGTTTACCTCCAACAAATAAATACAAAACTGAAATATATATACACAATAAGGTCAGTATCCGTCCCGGCTGCAGCTGTCAGCATCAGGGGTGTGGAATTCCTATCGCCTGACGTCCGGGACATGCAGTTTCGGGCGCCGGGCGAGTAGTTTTTATGTACATTTAGCCCGGCTCCGGACAAGCAGAGCTGAATGTACATTGTGGAGCCGCGTTTCTGCCCACACCCCCCGTCGTAGTTTTCGGGGTCCCCCGCTCTCCTGGGGGACCCCAAAAACTACAGCACAACCATAGAGCCCGTAGAGCAGACGAAGAACGTGTGCTCTACGGGCTCTCTGTGTGTTCTCCGAGACCGTGGTGCTGTAATCACAGCGCCACCTGTCTCGGCTGTCAGGAACTACACAGAACAGCTGTTCTGTGTTGGAGGGCAGGTTCCATAAAGAGAACCTGTCACCTCCAAACTATCACATAAGGGATTTTAATCCCCTATATGATAGGAAGAACATTAAGTGGAAAAAGTAAATAAATACAAATTTAAAAAAATAATAAAATATATAAAGATTTTTTTTAAAAGTAAAAAATAAAAATGAAACGCCATCTGCATGCATATGAACGCAGGCATAGGACATTCTGCATGTGCTTTGAGATTGCAGCTGCCATTCCATGGTGGTAGCCAGAATTCTCTTACACACACACAATGTGTATTAAAGGGTGTGTTCATTTTCCCAGGTAATATGAATAAAAATTACCCGATGAAATAGGGCCCCCTCTCCCCCAAACCGCCACCCCCCTGGCTATACTTACCTTTCGGCGAACAATCCCTCCCCTCCGCCAGTATGGGTGTACTATCTGTCCCCCGTACTGCTGTCCAGTGCAGTCCTCCCCTATGCATTTTGAATTTTGCTCACAAAGTGCAAGCACTCATTGGTCAACGTGGTCAGATGACTGTGCTGACCAGTGAGAAGTAAAACAGTAAAATATGTTTTGATTAGGGGTGCACCGATACTAGTATCAGTGCCGATACAGAGTATTTGGGCGAGCACTTGTACTCACCCAAATGCTCCGATACCTTCCCCGATATTGGAACTTACGGCCAGATGAAAATTTCCTCTGACTGGCAGTGCCGTAGGGGAACATGGAGCCAGCTTCTCGTGCAATCAGGAAGCCGTGCGGCAAGTAATGACACGCCTCCTGGTTTTCTGATTGGCCAGGAAGCCGGCTCCTTGCTGATTGGCTGGAAAGCCGGCTTCCTGGTCAATCCGCATCGAGACAGTTTCCCGGGAAAGCAGGTTTCCCGGCCAATCACAACCAAGCAGGCCAAACAACATGGAGCCGGCTTCGGTGGCAATCGGGAACCTGGGCGGCATGTCATTACCTGCTGCCCGGTTTCCTGATTACCAGGGAAGCCTGCTCCATGCCAGCGGAAGCACTGGTATTAGTATTCAGTGTCGGCGAGATCCGAAAGCAAAAAAAAAAATCGGTACTTGTACTCGATACCAAAGAAACAGTATTGGTGCATCTTTAGTTTTCATTAAAACTATTTTTATTTATTGGGACAAGTAGATTGTCATGAAGGACAAGTAGATATGGCCCCCACTTTAGCACTTGGACAAGTAGTTTTAAAAAAAAAATTCCACACCCCTGCAGCATGTAGCGGGCAATGGCCCGCTATATGCTGGGTTTTGGGTCACATGAGGACATATTATATGTCTTTCCTGTTAACCTAAAGAGAACATAGTTCTCTTTTAAGCCTATCTACCTGCAGTATCAAATTTGGCCAGTAGAGCCAGCAGAAAATATCTCTGTATATATGAGCTTCAGACTGGTTTTACTTTGATAAAAACTCCCATAATTCCTTAGCTTAAAAAGGGAAGAACAAATGCATCATGGGAGTTCAGACTCCATTTTAGGGATTGAGGAAGAGGAAGCCATTACTATCTGACATTTTTATGAGGAAGGAATCCTACATTCCTTTTAGGCAGCATCGCTAGTAGGACTGGACTTGTTTCCCTCTGTACTCGTAAGCTGCCACTGTATCTGCATCTTTTACACACAGACCACAGGTTATGTGTAGCGAGGACAGAGCATTATTTATGTGATAAAAACATAACGGCATAATATATGTGTGTGTCAATAATACACAACCTTACCTCTTTTTAGTCTCTCCATTGCACTTTTACTGCCTGCATAGGTTGGTCTAATTTCTTTACCCAGCTCTTCTATGATGACAAGAAGTTCTGCATACTTGCTTTGGGGCACCTGATTGCTGGTTGTACTCTAAAAACAGTAGGTAGTCATTACAAAAAGAGATCCCAACACTTTGATTACATTTGCATTACAATAAAATATATTCAGCTTTTATCACATCTTCTAGACCCTTGGTTCTCAACTGGTGGGTCGTGACCCAAAAGTGGGTCACAACCCCATGTTTAGTGGGTCGCTGCATACCTTCCACTTTTCTAGGTGAGAGGCTCCTCAGCCTCCCCCTAGTGCAGCACCGTCTATTCTTACACCAAGCAGCCATTCAAAATATGCTGCCCGGTGCCGAGTGTCAACTTGAGGTGGGGTGGGTTGGGGGTATGGCCGCGAGGGAGATCCATCCATACGTGCATTGCTTATAGCTTCCTCACATGTCCTGTAGAATACTTGGACTGGCATGACATCACATTCTGGCTCCCGGCACCTCTACAGGCACGCATGGGAGCTGTACCAGCAATGCACATATGGATGGAACTCCATCACAACACAGCAGCCCACACTGCCGTGCGTTCCATTGCAACTTGAGTCGCGACTTAATGACAGAGGACAAATGTGGGTCCTGAGGTTACGCAGGTTGAGAACCACTGTTCTAGACTAATGCATATGTCTGACTTTTGCAGTATAGGAGTATTGAAGCTGAACTCTGGCAAAAATAGGTCAACTTGCATGGCTCTGCTGCAGTTACAGATCTCCCTCAGCTGTTTGTGATGCAGAATCGGGAGTACACACCACCACCAGGGTCTATGAGGAACCCAATCTGAGGTCTGGTGGTCACTGGTGGATACATCCCCTGTTTTTCTTGGACTCGAGGATTTTGTCATCAGCCATTACGTGCAACCATGTACACTCACACTGAACCCACAAAAAGCTTTACTGTGCTATGAATAAGTGATATCAGTTATGCTACACAGTGCTATTTACTGTCCCACACAGGCCAAAGTAATGCCCAATCCCAATGAAGGTGGCCCTGCTGCAATGAGTATTGGCATCTGATTTCCTAAGAAGTTATAGTACATACGATTGCCATCTCTTTCCTCCTCCCTGCCAACATAGTCTCTAATATAAACTGGGTGCAGGACACCACACGACCTGGACTTTAGCCCTGGTTCACACCTAGGCGTATTGCATATGCGCGTCTGTCGCGCGTTTTTTTTACCGCAATTCGTGGTAAAAAAATTGCGCAACAAACGCGCGTTTCCGAGGGCTACTTGGCTGTATCCCAATGGAAACGCGCAACAAAAACGGCCCAAAGTAGTACATGTACCTTTTCAGGCGTGGGCCGTTTTGTAGCACGTTAGGGACGGGCTGAAATACGCCAAGGTGTGAACCAGACCCATTGAATACAATGGGATTTAGATGTTTGAGCGCTTTGTAGAGTGTTCGTCGAGCGTAGAACGCGTTACAAAACGTTCAGGTGTGAACGAGGGCTAAACCCTAACTTTTTTGAAGTTGTAGATAGAAGGTGGAAGGTCAGGTTTTCCAGTCACATTGTTATTGCTGTTTTCCTGCTGGAGAGTTTTCTCCGCTTTCTGTCTGAAGGCAAATCTCTCCAATGGAGGCACAGGCAGCAATAAAACCTGAAAGATGCTCTAACCCTAAAATCTTCTACTAACAGTATTGTCTGCAGAGCTGTATGTGTCTCCATTATAGAGATTTGCCCTTCCTGTTCTAATACATATCAAATAATTAGAAAGGGGGAACAAAATCACCCAACAAAGACATCCATAAAAACCTGACAGGAGGTTCTAATCCTTCATTACACTAAAAGTGCTTACTGCGATTGGCTTTTAAGTTTAATCATGCCTCTTGTGGCAAATAACCATGATGCAGAGTAAGGGGACTGGATGCAGCACTCTTGGGATAGCCTGGAATGCAGCTTTAAATTTGACTATTTAACAACAAGAACTGTTTTGCCTTAAGGCAGCTTCATATCTGGTGCCAAATATTTCAAGTATATGCAGGTATTTTAGCTTGTGTGGTCTAATTAAAAGAGAACGTCTTATAAAGTGTATGTACTTACATCAATGCTTCTAAACTGCCAGCAAATGTGTATAGCGGGCACCTTTGTGCAGCTTTAGTATTCCTTCAAGGCCCCCAAAAGCCTTGAATACAAAATGCTCTATTACACATTTGCAGATCTTGAAAACTTATTTGTGAGCTGCCGTGTTCCCCCAGACCCTGCAATTGGCTGATAAATATGACGGAGCAGCATCACTGGCCAATTGCAAGGTGGAAGGGGCAGAGAAGAGTTAGATTTATTGTCAGGCTATTATTGCTGACTGTATCACATTTGTGAAGAAGATTTCATCTCACTTCCTGTCTGGAGACCACAAGGGCAGTAAAGGGTAAATTTGTTCAACAGGAACATAAACAGAGAACTCTTTCTCAAACAATTCATCCCCATACAGCTACCGCCTCATGTATCACTGGCCCCTACCTTTTAGATTGTACGCCCTCAGGGGCAGGGCCCTCCTTACCGTATTGTATTGTAATATCTTCCTTATATTGTAAAGCGCTGCGCAAACTGTTGGAGCTATATAAATCCTTTATAATAATAATATTCAATGACTTATTCAATGACAAAATATTTGTAGTTTATTTGCTGCTTCCCTATTTTTCCTGTGAGATTTGGCCCCACTTCCTACCTGAAATCGGTTCAAATTTCCTCAGCAGAGCCACAATAAAACATGATGGTGTTCTAACCCTTTCCCACTCCAATCAAAACTGACATGCATACATTCTTTGCAGTTGCACTTTACATGTTTAATATGACTCAATTTTCAGTATTACCTGAGTATATCCCAAGGATGGGGGTCCAAAGTCATTCACCAACTGTCTGTATTGTGCAGATGATGCTATGCTAGTAGAGGGAGAATGTGCACTTACAGCTGTTGAAAAAAAAAAATAACAATAACACAGTAAAAAAGAACTGTACATGCCATGTAGAACAAATGAAAACAAACAGTCTATTCAATTTCAACAATGGGCCATGGTTTCCATGTAATAGCAATAAACAACCACTTAGCCAATAGGCCTGGAGACATATCCATAACAAGCAAAGGTCAATGGACAAACTAGTTGAATTAGAATGTTTTGTTCATCTTCAAAGCTTTTGCATACTGTAGTTTTATGTTTTGGAAGCCGTGATGTGCAAAATTGCATGAAAATGTATATTCCTGCCACTGCATCTACTGTATTAACAAAGGATGGATCCAAACTGTACCCTAATGCTTCTATGTACACCTCAATTGTAATGTGTAACGGAGTCACAATATGTGTCAGACAATGCTTAAATGTGGTTTACCATTCCTTACTAAAACGGGGCCTTGGAGTACCATACAATGTGGTCATAATAACCCATACTCTCTATCTAATAAGCAGCTGAGGAGGCCACTGATCCCAACATAGCTCAGCTCAGAGTAGCTCCACTATATCAACATGCATACCCCAAAGAGCATGGATGGAGGAATCTGCCCTGAGGCTTTTGGCTGATTGGCCAACATTTTTTCCATCTACAAAAGTCAATTTAAAAATCAAGATTTGTCAACCCTGGACCACCCTCAGAAATATAGGAAATTCAATCTGTATATGGCCCATCCTTAGTTATGAAAAAGCATAGAGTTGGGGAACACGCGATACCTGGAGAAGGACCTTGCATACAAACATGCTTAGTCTAGTGATAGCCAATATAGGCAGACATTTGAAGGATCAATATCCAGGGACATGTCTGCTTCCATGAGTGGACAATATGAAGGGGGCGGAATCCAAGAGATGTAACAGTAGTCAAGGTCAGAGCAGGTTTTCTGAATCAATGCCCTTAAATATGGTAAGTAATAATTGTTACTACCTCCGTGTATACATTACTAAGGTCAGCATGATGATATCATTGAGAAATCTGGAGAAAGCTAGAAAGCTACTCTTGTTGTTTATTATGACATAGCAGGATTGAAAGTAGACCTTTCTACTTGTGAATAAACCATGTACAACATCCACATCAAAGCAGACACTTCCAAGCTAGGAGTTGTAGCAT